TATAGTTAATAAACAAATGCTAAAAATGCAAAGTATTTTATTTGTAATGGAATAATAAACTGTGATTTTTACTCATTAGGTGTCTGTTCAGAAAGGAAGCCCAGTTAAAGGAGAAAAAAACACCAAGAAGCATCTTAAAATAAATTATAAGAAGACATTGATTTAAAAATATTCCTTAAATTAGCTAGCAATAGGAGGGTAATTTATGAGCCTGGTTAACAATAAGGTTACTAAAAAGTATTTTTGACTACTGGGGTTAATAGATTAAAAATGCAGCTTTTAAAAGGTTAGTCTTGCTGAACATGCCCAAATGTCATTTTTTATACAGAATAAACTAATTTTGATATTTAAAAAAAACTGCCTGGAGTGAACCAGAACTTCATTAAAGAAATGCTGGTATAATCAATACCGAGACACAGTTCATTAAGTAAGTCTAGAAACTTGTTTTGTTTCATATAATATATTGCAATCAGTATTTGTGGTAAAAAATGAAATAACGATTCCCATCCCATTTCCTTGAAAAATAAAACCAGAAATAGAGGGAACATAAGAGGATCCTGGAACAGAATTTATTAAACAAATGTTTAAGGGCCAAATTATGGTCTGCAAGGAAGCAGTTCAATTCCTTTAATCAGTATCTTAATGTATATTGAGTTGGCATCTGCCTCTATAGCCATATGCTAGGTTAAAAGTAATATGAGAATGCCTTCAATATCACAGTTTTAGATTCTCTGTTATAAAGAGCAGAAACAAAATAGTTATGTTTTTAATAAATTTGTATTTATTATACAAGTGCAATATTTCCTCTCAAATATCCCTTGAGCTGTCTTTCTGCCTATTGGCTCTGACCAGACAAAAGCATTAGCTATGCTCTAGGCATTACTAGTTTCTCATGTTTGTCTGGACATGAAAACGACAAATTACTATTGAGATGAAATGTAAATGGAAAGTTACTTTAAATATTAAATCTTATTATGAATCCTCCTGATTTAAAACAACAACTCTATTCTTGAAAGGCTGTTTTTAGGCGTGTGCATCTTCCAAATGTAGAAATACATTTTCCATATTTCATCTAGCTACTTTATCTAATGATGAAAAAAATGACTCAATATGTTCTACTTTGGCATAAATGTTATGATATTTGATAATGTTAAAGAACCATGTTTCTTTTAAACGTAGAATTAGAAACTAGTTTGACATTTGATGAATATATGATATTTATACTTAGTTTCCCTTTTCTTGTTTGGTCTTTTTTTTAAAGCTGATTCAGTATTCAAAGTATTTTTTGTTTTTGTAGTATTTTGTCAAATTTGTTGACGCAGATAAACTAAAAAACAAAAAGTCTTAGCAGTGATCTAAATTGCATGTTCACATGAGCTAAGAACTTGTTATTCTCCTGAAACAGTAATTGTAAATATACAGGTAGTCCTCAATTTACAATAATTCTTTTAGCAATCATTTAAAGTTATGACAGCATTGGAAAAAAATGACTTACCACTACTCCTCACGATTGTTGCATCTTTCCCATGATCACATAATCTAAATTTGGCTGCTTGGCAAATAGCATGCATTTATAATGGTTTCAGTGTCATATAATTGCCATTTGTGATCTTCCCAGTTGGCCTCTGACAAGCAAAGTCAATGGGGGAAGCCAGTTTTGTTTAATGATTATGTGATTCACTTAACAGCCACAGTGATTTGCTTAATGAATGTGACAAAAAAAGATTCTAAAATTGGACGTGACTTACTTAATAACCACCTAACTTAGTGATGGAAGTGCCGATCCCAATTGTGATCATAAGTCGAGGACTACCTTTACTTCGTGTGATTCATATGTTTTACTTTTCTATTCTAAATTTATAACTAAAATTATATTTATGTGCTTTTTTTCCCAGGCCTTCAAATTTTTGAAAATCCAGTACATTATATGTATATTATATCTAGCAGAATATAATATACAGTATTCAGAAGTGCTTCCTTTATTTTCTGCAGATTTATTTGTTCTTGATTCCATTTCAACATATACCACAGCATTATTTGCTATTACTGAATGTTACAGAATTCAGTGTTTATCATAAATGTTTACTCAAGAGTGATTTCTCTTCTTTTGCCTTTTATTCTCCTTTTAGAAAGTCCTTTTAACTTTCTGATGGCCTTTTTACAATCCACAACCAGCTTTTTCATGAGTAAATATTTAAACCATAACTCTCGTTTTAAAAGTTCTACTGATGGAGAGTAGATGAAAGCAGCCCTGAAATTTATAGCTAGCTAGGTAATAATCAACTGCTATCAACATTCTCTGATCGTTATTAATGGTGCTATCACGTTATATGATCATAGGATTTTTAGCCTGGGAAGTCTGTGGACCCAATTTAGCATTCAAGAGCAAACAGTAACACACTGTAATATAGTGCATCAGCATACACTTTGGGGAAGTTGTAAGAAATTTAACATGTTTACTAAACATTTAGAATGTTGTCCACATAATTATTGTGCCAGTTTTATTTACAATATCTAAAGTTTCAAAAAACTGGAATAAATTAGTTAATTTGTGAAGCAATTTACCTAGTATTAAAGTATTATAAAACAGCTTAATATCAGTATTCACCAATACACATAATTACCTACAGATGTAGGGAAATCTTCAAACAACATATTTCGACTTGATGAGAACAGCAACAGGTTTCATATTACTAAATCCTGACTGTTGTTCTCCATAAGGGATCTTTCATTAAATACTTCAATTTGAAAAGCTACTCTTTTACTTTTCCAATTAGCAATGTTATTCTCCACAATATTCTTGCCTTCACAGAGTTGTTAAAATGTCTCTTTCAATTTTTTAAACAATGAAAAATCTGTATTTCTGCTAAAATTGAGGTTTTGTGAGCCTAATGATATACTTCATTAATAGTAATATACCTCTGCCTCATGTTTTGTAGAACAAAAAACTATACTGGCAGAAAATTTATTACCCTGGTTGCCGGTCCCTAACCTATCACACACAAATGCTGTCAAATTGGTTGGTCTTATTTACTATGTAATTAAAATGTTTTAAATCAGCAGTTCCCAAACTTTCCAGTTTGGTGGGGGTGGGTGGTTGGGGGAGAGGGAATGCTTCTGTGTGAGTGGCAGGCGCATGCATAAGCACATACAGCTCCATTTGTGCAGGTGGTGTACGTGCATGCCCCCTGCTCACACAAATGGTGTTTCGTGTGTGAGCAAGAGTGCCTGTTGCTTGAGCAAATGGAACTGTACACACACAGGTGCACTCGGCAACCCCTTGTGTGATTCAGTTCCGAAGCACAAATGGAGCTTCATGTGTGAGCTTCATGTGTTTGGCCGCCACATGCGCAGCCCAGTTCCAAAGCACAAATGGAGCTTCACATGCGTGCGCTCGCCCACCACTTGCACTTGTCCGGTTCTGAATGTGCTGTGGCCCGGTAGTGAGCCACGCCTTGAGAGTTGGGGACCCCTGTTTTAAATAAAGCCACTGGTAGATTCCATTAATTTTGCTGCCTTCATTTTCTATAAAAATAACTTCTTGCATGTACTTCCTGTACCTATCATCTATTACTCAGGCTACTAATGTCAGACATAGTAACCGAACTACATTATGCTTAAAAGTAGTATGACTTAAAGAGTTGCCACATCATGAAAACCATGCCATATCATGCAAACTACCTCACCTATTATAGCAGACAAAAGCACAGGGAACGATGCATGGTGCAATAGAGAACTGCCTCATCACACTGGAGAACCCTCAATATGCACGACAGCTGTTCCAAATAACACATGCATGGGGGATTGCACAGTGCATTAGCAATGACCTCAGTTGACTGTGAGAGCTGAACAGTTCATGAGAGAGATTATGTGAAACAGCAGGAGGGAACTTTCACCTTGCACTGCATAACTCTTGTACCTGTCAGCTCTTGCTTTACTATGTAACTCACCATTCCTATCAGCTGTTACAATAATCCTCAACTTTTCCTGTAATGGAGTCTGCCATTAATGTGCGGGTCGTTAAGTGGAGCATCAGGTGCCTCAGGGATGGGGCAGACCATTAAAGGGCTATTGCAGGCCCCGACTAGCCTGCCCCAGGCCTCCCAAGGCCTATCCCACCCTGTCCCTCGGGGTTCCCCAGGCCTCATCCTGCTCTCAAGCCGGCCATTCAGCCAGGCAAAAGAGCAAAATGGACTGGCAAATGGAGAACATTTACAGCCATGTGGCCATCCAAAGGACTTTTATTTATTTATTTATTTATTTATTTAATTTGATTTATATGCCGCCCTTCTCCGGAGACTCAAGGCGGCTTACAATGTGCTAAGCAATAGCCTTCATCCTTTTTGTATATTTATACAAAGTCAGCTTATTGCCCCCCACAAACTGGGTCCTCAATTTACCTACCTTAGAAAGGATGGAAGGCTGAGTCAACCTTGAGCCTGGCGAGATTCGAACCTGCAGTAATTGCAGGCAGCTGTTCTTAATAACAGGGTGCTTTAGACCACTGTACTACCAAGGCTCCTTGACTTGCAGGAGTCAACCTGCTCCTCACCCAAGGCCAAGCAATACTTACCTTACCTTTTAGGGAGTGGGGTTGCACAGGAGCCTGGCTGATATGATGCAAGGTTCAGCTCTCTTGCAGAAATTGCTGGCCTTGTGGCAGCCTTGTGCTTTTCTCCTAGCAAGTAGTACTTGTCAAGAGAATATAGAGAACCTTGTTTTTTAAGGGGGCTTCACAAAGCCCACAAACATATGGAACTTCTTCAGAATTACACTCTTCGTGTGCTCCAGGGAATAATTATGAACATACAGGTAGTCCTGGAGCTGTAACACCAATTAGGGACTGGGATTGATGTTGCTAAGTGATGCAGTGGTAAAGTATGAAATTAATGACCGCATTACTTAGTGATACAATCCAGGCCATCCAGGTTGTCGTAGTAACCAGGAAAATGCAGTTTACATCATGAATGTTCTAATATTTTAATATCAGAAGCACTTACAATGTGGTTCATAAGGAGGAGGTGGATCACCACAAGGAATACATTCCATATCCTGAAAGCCACCAAGCTTTGTCTTTCTATAAAATCTGGAAGACACAAGAAAAATATCACATTTCCCATATCTGAAAAAAAAACAACCTCAATACAGAATTATGCTAATAACATCAATAAAATGATATTGAAATAAGATGGGATCGTATAAACGGAGATTAAGCAAGAGGTTCAGGTAGTGACACTCTTCTGATGGTCTAGGACACTTAAATGCTTTATTAAACAGAAAAATGAGGACAGCTGTGAGCACAGCAATGATGAAAAATGAGTAGAGTCAACTCAAGTGCACAAGCATGGGCAAGATTTTCCTTTTTCTTAAGTTTTATCAAAATTGTTTTTAAAATGGTGAACAGTACTACACAGAACTAACTAAAATGGCAGGAAACAGTATGCCGAATTTTGGCAATCATAACATTGAAATCCATCACTGCAACCCAGTGAATTCTAGGGAAAACAAAAAAACAGGTTTCTAGGCTCACTGCCCCCATAAATCCTACAAATTCAAGCCTTTGGCCTAAAATCCTGAGGTAAATTAGGTTCAATTGGAAATCTGATAGGGAAGTGCACTTGCATTTGCTTGCGTGCCAGTGCAATTTTTCATGTGATCTGCAAAATTAATTTTTTAGACTCTTGGATCATATTGAGAGGTATAGTCACACTGAAACCAGCATAAATTAATCCTTTTTTCCAGATTTCCAACTCGTCACTGGGAGGTCAAGGAGGGAGGGCGGGCTATGTGAGCAACTCTTCTTGGGCCATTTTTAAGATCTCCACATTTCCACCTAAAATATGGTATTTCTATCTCTCCTTTATACATATCTGAACAATATGCAACGCATTATGGAATTCTGAAGAAAAGGAAGTTCTGCTATTGTGAGATGACTTTTCATTAAAACACCCTTAAGAACAAGGCTTCAGGATATAATCACCTATCACATCTGGAAGACATGGTAGAAGGAAAACCTAGCAGACTGACTTTGATGTAATAGACTTAATACCCAGTGGACAATTTTACATATCAATTTACATCAGTTGTATAATTAAGATTGTGTAATGATGTAAACTGCATCATTTCTTAAATAAAAATAAATGCCTTTACTATTAATATTATAAATATTTATATTGAATGGACATTTGGAAGCAACAGACATTTCCTCCTCTCAATTTAAACCATGAAAGCAAGTTTTCACTGCAGTGTACAGAAGCAATTTGACAACTTTAAGTAGCAGAGCCAGCCAAAACTGAGAATACAAATTATTTACAGTCCTTCATAATTCCTTCTATAATTTACCCAGGCAAGCAGTCTCCACAAACAGCATTGCTAATGGCAGAACAATTGCTTTTCTGAAATCGATTTACTGAAGCACAGGCCAAACATTGTTTGCATTTTTGAAAGCCCCAGTCCTCTTTGAATCGGTTTGGCCTGCATGTCATGCACTGGGCATCCTCGCCATATCCAAAACCGCATTCCTGTGGGATTAACAAACACTACTGTGACACTTAAAGAGACATGATAATAGGAAGCAACAAAGATGAAATGAGGTCTCAGGGTAATTATATCTGAAAATAAAAACTTTCTAGAGATAAAATAATCTTTTCAGCAGTTCCTAAAGTGCTGTCCATTGCTAATAATCCCCTTTACTTTTATAAGAAATACTAACTTATCCACTTTATCTCAGAAACCCTAGTATTTGAATGAAAAAGGACTCAGTGGATTCCCACTGCTTCATTATTATAAACTTATGGAAATTGCTGTCATGTCCATCTTTAAACTATGCCAACAATGTCAAAATTTAGAAGCTAGCCTGTGAAGTCCTTCAAGCAAGTATATGAATATCAGAAAAATAATTTTAATATAAACTTGCTGAGCTAAGCTTAAAGTGTATATGATCAAAAAAAATGCTTACAATTATTATTTTATATAAACAATAGAAAAAGCTATACAACTAAATATAATGTTAAGTATAATGCAAAATATATCTCTTATCTCCAACTATCTATCTATCACATTCTGCAATACACGGGGGCTCACATAAAATACATGAAATTGTATATAACCAAACAAAATATCAAAAAATATAATAGCAGCATAAAATTCTATCAAGTAAAAAAATGTGGGAAAATTTTTTAAAAATACTAAAATAATCCTACAGTTCCTCTAAAAACTGCTTCCTAATAGGGGCTGTTTACAAGAGGGGAAAATAAATTTGCACAATAAATAAAAATAATCTATTGTTAGACAATTATCATATAGGCAGATCCAGTTCTTTACAGAGAAAGAAACATCAACCTGGTGTTGTTACTTATGGAGTGCTACAGGCCTCAGTTCTTTTTAACTTCTATATGAAGCCAGTGGGAGAAGCATCTATCAGTATGGGGTGCAATATCGGCAAATTGCTGATCACATCCAAATGTACATCACCAATCTGGCAGTGTGGTCAATGTTTTGATTCAATATTTGAAGATAATTAGAATCTGAATGAGACAAATCAAGTGAAACTAAACTCAAGCAAAATAAGAGTTGTTGTTTGTCCACTGAGATTCTCACATGCTGTCTTTCCAGGAAGTGATGCTAAGGGAGAACCCATGACTTGAGGATCCTCCTGGATTGCTAGGTACTACTCAATGGGCAAGTAGAAATCATGGCCTGCTGGTCCAGCTTCAGCCTTAAATGAAGCAGGAGCATGATCATGTCTCATCTATTACAATGTACACTAAATGAGGCTGCCTAATTTCTGGAAAATGTGGCAACCGGTGCAATAATTTCTATGGGACAACATGAACACAATAAGCCTACACTGTGGCCCTGCATTGCCTTAAGTGAAATGGGTGGCCATACAAATATAATGTATGAATGTTTAACCCTTAAACTATGAAAAGACTTCTCTAGTAAATAATATTGCAACTTCCAAAATAGTTAATTTACAAGTCTTTTTCAGTGCTATATGTAGTGGAGAAATATATTTAGTAATTATCATACCTGAAAAATCAAGAGAATAATTTTCAGAATTTTATAGGAACATACCTTAGATAATTCCATTCCAGGGCCACATTGTTCACACAATATACAGTTTCCATCATGATCTCTATACTCCTGCTCTCTACACTCTCCAGTTTCACAAATTATAACATTTAACTACAAACAAAAGGGAAGCAGTTAAGATTACATTGTTAAAGAAATGAATCTTTCAAGATTCCTATATATACTCAAAATTTCCTCCCAAGAAAATACATAGCTACAGAAATGTACTTGGAATTGCTAATCAAAGTTTGGGAACATATATACAGTCAGGTCCAGAAATATTGGGACATCGACACAATTCTAACATCTTTGGCTCTATACACCACCACAATGGAGTTGGAATGAAACAAACACAATGTGCGTTAACTGCAGACTGTCAGCTTTAATTTGAGGGTATGTACATCCAACTCAGGTGAACGGTGTAGGACTTACAGCAGTTTGCATATATGCCTCCCACTTGTTAAGGGACCAAAAGTAATGGGACAGAATAATAATCATAAATCAAACTTTCCCTTCTTAATACTTGGTTGCAAATCCTTTGCAGTCAATCACAGCCTGAAGTCTGGAATGCATAGACATCACCAGACGCTGGGTTTCATCCCTGGTGATGCTCTGCCAGGCCTCTACTGCAACTGTCTTCAGTTCCTGCTTGTTCTTGGGGCATTTCCCCTTCAGTTTTGTCTTCAGCAAGTGAAATGCATGCTCAATGGGATTCAGGTCAGGTGATTGACTTGGCCATTGCATAACATTCCACTTCTGTCCCTTCAAAAACTCTTTGGTTGCTTTTGCAGTATGCTTTGGGTCAGTGTCCATCTGCACTATGAACTGCCGTCCAATGAGTTCTGCAGCATTTGGCTGAATGTGAGCAGATAATATTGCCCAAAACACTTCAGAATTCATCCTGCTGCTTTTGTCAGCAGTCACATCATCAATAAATACAAGAGAACAAGTTCCATTGGCAGCCATACATGCCCACACCATGACACTACCACCACCATGCTTCACTGATGAGGTGGTATGCTTAGGACATGAGCAATTCCTTTTCTTCTCCATACTCTTCTCTTCCCATCACTCTGGTACAAGTTGATCTTGGTCTCATCTGTCCATAGGATCTTGTTCCAGAACTGTGAAGGCTTTGTTAGATGTTGTTTGGCAAACTCTAATCTGGCCTTCCTGTTTTTGAAGCTCACCAATGGTTTACATCTTATGGTGAACCCTCTGTATTCACTCTGGTGAAGTCTTCTCTTGATTGTTGACTTTGACACACATACACCTACCTCCTGGAGAGTATTCTTGATCTGGCCAACTGTTGTGAAGGGTGTTTTCTTCACCAGGGAAAGAATTCTTCGGTCATCCACCACACTTGTTTTCCATGGTCTCCCAGGTCTTTTGGTGTTGCTGAGCTCACCGGTGCATTCCTTCTTTTTGAGAATGTTTCAAACAGTTGTTTTGGCCACGCCTAATGTTCTTGCTATCTCTCTGATGGGTTTGTTTTGTTTCTTCAGCCTAATGATGGCTTGCTTCACTGATAGTGGCAGCTCTTTGGATCTCATCTTGAGAGTTGACAGCAACAGATTCCAAATGCAAATAGCACACTTGAAATGAACTCTGGGCCTTTTATCTGCACATTGTAATTGGGGTAATGAGGGAATATCACACACCTGGCCATGGAACAGCTGAGAAGCCAATTGTCCCATTACTTTTGGTCCCTTAACAAGTGGGAGGCACATATACAAACTCTGTAAATCCTACACCGTTCACCTGAGTTGGATGTACATATTCTCAAATTAAAGCTGACAGTCTGCAATTAGGAAAGAGTTGTTCTTGTTGTTTTTACATTAAAATAAATATATACTAACTTAGCTATCCTAAGGTTGATGTCAACTTGTCTTAATCAACTTGATATTGATCAGATTAATCTGATATAATAAATAATGACATCTGGTCAGTAAGTCAACATTTATAAAAGAGTAATTCCCTTGCCGCAGTGTAAGCAAACAATACAAACAAATAATACAAACTTTATAGTGCTTCATATGCTGGTTTGTGGTTATAAAACAACTATCCAATTACTTAGTTTTTTTATTGCAAGAACATTTACTCGTACAACATACAATGCATAATAAGAAAAATGTTTATCTACTTACAACATATATCAAAAGTATCAGCAATCTAAAGATGAAATATTGCCACTCAAACTTTTGTGTATGCATTTTTCCTTTAAGAAAGAAATAGACCTGTAAACAAGAAAAAAAATTATTTGTGAGATTATAAAGTGCACATTATGCCTATGCTATATAATAAATAACAGGCAGTAATAATGTTATGTCTGGATTTTATGTCTGAGTTGAAATTTCAGTGAGAAAGTTCTCATAGCCTCTATTAGAATGCTATCTAAACATTTACTAATAGAAGGGACAAACACATAATTCTTAATAATAGTAGAAAAATGAAGAGGACAGAAACATTATTGACCCAAATGTCAATGTGATTGTTTAAAATATATTAACTATAACAACATTTACAAAATAACTTGTCTACTTTGCAAACTAGCATCATATTGCATTTCCTAATTTAGTTTCAACTACAATTAAACTAGATTAACTTCCACTAGAGGAAGAATGATTTAATTTATGAAGATATAAACAAAGACATTTTGATTTCCTAATTCAAAGAACTTTTATTAAACATTAGATTTCCAACAATTAAAGGTGTTTCAAGTAAATTTATTGATAAACCCTCTCTCTCTAATAAAACTCCTGCAGGATAATTTTTGAATTCGTTTAAATCAGAGACCAGCATACTTCATTTAAGATCCTAATAGGTATGGAGGCAAAGGCAAGTCTAAATAGGGAGATTTATAGTCCTCTATAGAGGTATGCAATTAATAGGTTTTTAATTATTTGAGTTAAGCATATGTATGTAATAATATGGTTAGATACATGAGCTAATGAGCAAATATGATGTCATCTTAGAATTGAAACAAGGGGCTATATCTGAAGCCCTTATATTCTTCTAGCCATTATCTAAAGCTAGCTAGACATTAGTTTCCAGCAATATTTGTTATTTCCTAACTACTCTAGTTAGCATTCTTGCTGTTAGCACTTTCACTACCTTGTTACTCAATTCAACTTTCTCTGTATCTGAGTTTCCTGGCATTTAATTGAATATACCTGATCTTAGCATTTGTTTTTCTGGAAACAAATTTAGGCTACGGGTTTTTGCTTAACTCCCAAATTCTAATTTACTCTCCACAGGGTTGGTTGGTATTCACTTACCTTTGCTACCGGTTTGCAAATGTGAGCGTGCGCGACTACCTGTATGTTAATACTAATTACCCTATTGATCACTGGTCATGAGGTAGTTAGGATACTGCAACGCAAAGTAACGTATATCATAACTAAGTTATTCCTTTTTTCCAGTTTATTTTTAATACACTTTCTAAACCTCAAAACAGAATGAACAGTTTTTGACTGTTTTGTTTTTTATAACAAACCTTCATTCATTACTCTAAAGAAAAAATTAAAGCTATCAAAGAAGAAAATATAAATGCCTTTTTTCCTTTTTATGACCCTTTAATTCCTTTAGTCAGGGTGGAGTCAACCCATGACCTGAATTGCTGAGCGTTTACTGGCCAGAAGCCCTTCCTGACGCCTACGCGGAGTTCACAGCAAATATTTCCTCTTTGCACCCTGATAGAGAAACATCTGCTGCTGCCTATGGTTGAACTCTCAGCCTTCCGAGTGGGAGGTAAGCGTCTTCACCTCTAGGCTACTGCGCCGCTTGATAAATACAATTTAATAAACTACAAAAATCAATTTAGATATACAATGTAGAGATTTCTTTCGCATGTCAGTGCATGACTTGCTATAATTGTCTAATACTTCCAGAAAGATAGCTTTGACAGATCTCAATAAGGAAAGCAGTCAACATCATGGAAGCAAAACATGCTGCAGAAATATTATCATGGGTATAATATACTATGGGCATAAAATAATCTGCCTATATATTTCATTTATTTAACTCAACTCCCCCAATCTAGTACAGTATCTATTCTTCTATAGCAGTCAAAATTTACAGTAAGAATTCTTGGAGATTGTAACCCACCATATCTGGACTATGAGAAAAAGCTGACCTGTATGATCAATTCAGGTAAATAGATAGTTAAATAGACTAACCATATTTTAAAGAACTCACCAGGTAAAGTGAATAGATAACACTAACTATATTATCTAATACAGATTTTCAAATTGGTAGAAAAATAAATAAACTTATCTAAACTAGTGCTACCTAGACCTCTCCTCTCAGCCTCTATCATATGACATCTTTCTGTCAATTGTTTTGTCTGGGTTTTCCTTCAGTGACCATTGCACATATTTACCCTAAATTACTTTTAACATGTTTTTAGCTGCCCAGAGTAATGCTCATGAGACGGATGGCCATTTAAATTAATGCAATAAATTAAAATAAATACATTTGAGAAACAAAACATAAGCAATAGGAAAAAAAGCTGGCTTAACATCACACTAATCATGGTTTACTAAGAATAATGGCTTAGTTCATACAGGATCATATTGAGCCAAAATCAAATCAACCATATTTTTATTTAGTATGTGATATGTGAATCCAGATTCATAGATTCATTTGTATTCCTAACGAAAGTATTGAAGCACTTTCCTACTGTATTCAATAATATAGGCAATATTTTCCTACTTAATTTGCCAAATCCTGTTTGAGAAATTCAGCAAATTTAAATGTCACATTAGTTTTTAACATTAAACATTTCACTTGAGATGATTCTAGTATTAGCGCAATACATCTTCTCAACTGCTATGATAGAAGTAAGCAGCCTCATTTTTATAGGAAGAATTATTCAACCTTGTGACTACTGAAATTCATCAAATGGCTCTAAGGTAAAGTTTACAACTGCTGGAACTACTCTGAACATCTAGATGTTATATTTCAAAGAATATGTAGACCTTCAACAATTGCAAATTTTCTGAACTACTTCACAGCAGATAGAGTTGAACTTTTTCAAAGGTCAGACAAATTTCATACACTTTCTCCATTGTACAAAAATACCCCAAAGATAGCTCAGCTAATGTAGAAACAATGTATTAAGCTATTGATTTCTGAATCAGATCATGCACAAATAACACTATAATTTTTAATCTAATTTTCTGTGTGAAAAGTAAAGATTTGAAATATATAAATAACTGACTTGCCTGGAAGCAAGTTTTGAAAGAAACAAAATTGTGCCAACAGTGTGTTTCCTGCTTCTGTGTTCAGTACAAATATTTCTGTCTTATAAACAGACATTACCAAAGTTAATTAACAGGCGGTTATTGGGCAAATTCATTTTCTGCTGGTATTAAGAGACAATGTATTTATAATATATACATTATCATCTGGAACCAAGCCATTCAACACTTTTTCTGTGCATACAGAAAAAAGTATTTCAAATGTGATGTATATATATATATATATCTTAACAATTGTAGAAATCATTTCTGCATTATATGTATTAATGTCTGTGACTTTTTATACAACAATATGTTATTTAAGAAAAATATATTTAATTTCAAAATGTTCAATTGAAAAGCATTGTTTAGGCAAATAAAAAAATTGTAAATAATAAATGTCCTCGCAAATTCTCTCCAATTCCTAATACTTAAACTGTAATTTATTAATTACATTAAACTGAATATCTGTACAATATATTGTATTCATTCAATAGAAATAGGACAGAGAAATACTGTAGGTAATAATGAAAGCTTAAAGTAGGTAACATAAAGAGAAGAGTTATTAAATATTATATAATGTTAATCTATATGTATTATCACTATAGTAATCTATAACATAGCATCTAACAAGTTATAGCATATAATATGCTGTTTTTCTTATGTAATAATTTAACACATCCTGTTTTGCCAAATAGCCTTTATGAAGTGGGAAACTCACTTTTCATTTTTGTGGTAAAATTATACAAACTAAATAAAATATAACCTTGGAATAACTAACTTTCAATTGATATTTAGGAAAAGAAAATAACTAAAAAGATATAGGTTTTGTTATAAATTACATTAATAAATATTTTGCTATCAATTTTAATATGTAAACCTTCTAAAGTAAAATAACTAAAATAAGTGATCCCTACTTTAAAAATGGCATAAGTATAAATAGATAGGATAAATGATAGTATAAAACACTTTGTCAAATTCTATACCTTGCTCCATTCATCCTGACTACCTAAAATGAACTTTGCTGTTACATCTTGATTCATATTTGACCTTCCCTGACTGCATTGCTAACAGCTATTCCTTCTAATTATTTAATAACTTGATGGAAATAGGGGAAAGATTCAACAGAAAAAAGTGATTGATTTATTTATTTAAATTTTTATACCGCCCTTCTCCCGAGGGACTCAGGGCGGTGCACAGCCAACAATAAAACACATATATCCATAAAATTTAAAAAACAGTTTAAAAACATATTAAATAATTTGGCCCCAAAATTATTAAAAACTAAACAAACCATTAAAATTCATGTGTAAGCCAGCTCAGCTTGTTGAAACAATAATGTCTTGAGGGCACGGCGAAAGGTACGTAGGTTAGGGATCATACGTATCTCCGGGGGCAGTTCACTCCAGAGGGCAGGTGCCCCCACAGAGAAGGCTCTCCCCCTGGGGGTCACTAGTTGACATTGTTTGACCGACGGCACCCTGAGGAGTCCCTCTCTGTGGGAGCGTATTGGCTAGTGGGAGGCTATCGGTGGCAGAAGGCAATCTTGTAAGTACCCAGCTTTAGCTATAGATGTAAAACTTCCACATCCTACAAGTAACATAATCCCCTCCCCCCCCAATGATCTACAAAGAACAAGAAGGGGCAATGAATAGTGTGAATGACAGGTTTTAGTCACGTCAAATTCCCTTTTAAACACCAAAAATGGCAAAAAAGGTGTCATTTTCATTGCTTCCTAAAGGCTAAGACTGAGGAGGCAAGCTATTTATGGGATGGGGCAACCATACAAAAGAACTTGTTCCTCACTCCATTTCTCTAGGAGGAGGAATATGGAGCAGCTCTTCCTGATCTGAATTCACAAATTCTACTTGGAACATACAGTTCCCAGATAACCAGAATCAAACTGTTTCTTCCAACACCACAAAAAATTTGAATTAGAGTATTTATTCAAAGAATAGGATAAGGAAATATTTATACAATGAAGGCTTAAATATATG